ATGACAAATATAAAGGCGCGGACCCTCCGCGGTTCATGGAGATGCCTACACTTATATTACGATTCGCTTTGGAAGAAAATTTATGTGGTTGTGTCTGCTGCAACCTACGGAAATGCTACGCATGATTTGACGTTATTGATAAACGCGTGGCTTGCTCGAGTAGGCCGTTATATAGCTCAACGCAGTCGACATGGGTCTACTTTTGCAGTTGATTATATGACTACAAAACTTCTCATTTTGAATGCGTTAAAAGTTTCACACGTGACGTTAATTTATAATATTATGTTTGCTATACGTATCTATGTATATGCCTTTCACCTTCATTACATTTGCAACCTGGCAAGTACTTATATGAGTTTCAAGACATATGGTGAAGGAAAACATCGTAAAGAAACCCTGACTTATAATTTCTAAGGAAAAGTTTATGATCACCTCGTTGAGCAAGCGAAATGATTAATGCTCCTTCTCCGAGTGAAAAGAGACTTTTGCTCAGCAGTAAGCACTTATAGACTGATGATGTTAATATGTAGAATAGGGCTGGTAGAATAATATATCAACAAAAATTTAATAAATAAATATAAGCCTCCCACGTGATTTACAATTCTATGCATATACAATTTAGGTTCTTTTTTTTATCTTGATTAGACAAGGCAATAACAAAGGAATAATTATGTGATTGAAGCTCACATTTTTTTTTTAAAGAAATTTATTTTACGATGTAGGATTATTAAGACAAGAATCATTCTGCCTTCGGCTAAAAAAATAAAATAAATGGTGTGAAAATAATTTGGACATATTTTTCTTGTGCTACAATTCACGCATTCATTTTTTATTTTAAAATAGAATAAAACAAATCAATCTTTTGTATAATTTATTTGTTTTCATTGTGTGGTTTTTTCTTTTTTTACATATATCATTTTCTTAATAAAAATCTACATATTTGATATGTAGCTAGTTATTTACGTCTCAAAACGAGCCTTATTTTGTTGCTGTCAAGAATTAGATTTACCTAAGTGCAAATTTTATTTTTCTTCTCTTTAAAACAAAAGTAAATTGGTTATTTTTCTGCTTTAAGCATTGTTACGGTGACTTAACAACATTTTAATTTTGGAAAAGCTTCATTTCAATTAAATTTAACCAATTCATAATTTTATTATACATTAACATTATACTGTTTTGATAATAATATAATGTATATCCCTATGTATGCTTAAGTCTTTAAAAAATGAAGACCCTTTACCCTTACGCTTATATGTATATTAACATCTATCTAATAGTGGAGATATTCAGTAGTATTACCATAGCATTGACACAAAAAAAAAACAAAAATGCTTAAATACTTTTTTTTGTCTTTAATAAAGCGAAAGATAATTTCAAAATTCCGAAATCCCCAGCTTAGTTATCAATGGAACCGCTCCAACATTGAAAATGTCATTTTACGAAAAATGCAATAACTTCCATAAGTACATTCACATTGATATTACTTGCATGCTTAATAATAATTTGGGATTAATGTGTGTGACTGTTTGTTTTAGCCTGAACATTTATTTCTAGTTTCAGGCGACGGCTTCGTCCTCAAATCAACAATACCTAAACAACATTAGCCTGTATGATTGCGAACTTTAATCTACATATCTCTTTGCCAAGTTTTATTCAGATTCTATTAATAGTTTTTGCGTCTAAGAGTAGAAATAAATATCCATATTCATTATAAGAAATCCGTTTATAACAAATAGGATATTCTAAACCTAGCCATGTGGTAAAAGTGAGTATAATATATTTGCTATCATTCCTATTGTAGGGGCTTAGAAGCTCAGGACAATTAATATCGTCGGGGGCGCAACGCCCTCTGATATAAACTGACTTAAACAAAAATCATCCGGGCTCCGTGACCTCGACCCAGAGTGCCTAGCACAAATGACTATCGCAATCGTAACGTTAACGTATCGAGACGTCGATACATGGAGCAGCACGTCGATTCTATAAATTTTGTTAAATTTTGAATCTAAATTTAAAAATCCCTAATCTCCAAAAGGTCGGCAACGCACTCGTAACTCTATCCAGCTTACCATCGGGTAATCTGTCTACTCGTTCGCAGACCTGATACATAAAAAAGTGAAACCAAAATTACCGATTCCGAACAAATCCACAGGACATAACTAGTTTATCTATTGCACAATACCAGGTCCACGAGTGGTCCTTCAAAAATTGATAAACATTGATAAATGCCGACAGTGACTTGTACAAAATATATTAAGTTTTTTCCACAGTATCACTGCATGGCGTGATAAGGGGTATTATGTATAACTGGGGTACAATTCCCCGTAATCCGAACGGTAGGGGACGAGGTTTCAGGGTTCCGTATGAGTATCATGAAGTCGCTATATATGCTAATTCTTGTTTGTATGTGACAGCTTTAACAGAAAGTGAATATTATGTCATGTTGTCTTTATTTTAGAGCTGATTTTCAATAGTCAGATAAATGTTATATGAGGAATAAGATTGTTGCCGTCACTGTCTTATACAAACATTTTGACGCGACACCATCATAATTATACCCCAGATAACTTTTATCTAACCATTGAAAAATCAACCCTTAGCAGAATTGTTCAATCATGCTTGAGAGTGTGTTTGTTTGTTTAAACGTGCTTATCTCCAGAACTATTGGTTCGAATTGAATTATTCTTTTTGTGTTTGTTAGTCCATTTATCGAGGAAGGCCGGAAGCTATAAAATATCACGCTACAATTTGTAGGAGCCGAGCAGCGAGTGAAACCGCGCGAGAGAGAAGAGAATTAATTATATTCCCTGCTCAAATAAAACGCATCTGTATATTTAAAGTAACCAATTAAAAACATTATTTGACATTTAAATTGATCTCCCAAATAATGGTTGTCTATATTGCGTAGGTTGATATTAAAATAGGATTATGTTTAACGGATTGGTTGTAATATTGGTTTTGATGCTGTTTTAACATTTTTATTAGTTAATTATTGTCATTCCCATTAATTGGTTATAGGTAAGTGATTAAATAGTAATTATTTTGGCTTTATTTCTTCTATTTTCTTCTAGCAGCCCGTCCCTCCTTTGCACGGGTATTCCAACAGATGGCGTTTTTCAGATTATCCTTTCTACTTTTCTCAAATTATCTTACATACAAAAACCTCCTCCTGGCAACAACGAACATAACAAAGTTGACGAAGAATTGTCAAAATTGGTCCAGGCGTTTTTGAGTTATGTGCTTACTAACACAATTTGCTATTTATTTTTATAGTAAAGATTTCTTCTTGTTTTCGTAAAAAGATTGATGAATGTAAAAGAAGCGAATGAGATGTCAGAATCGTGTCATTTGATGTCAGATTGTCTCTGTACACCACAGCTGTATGAGAGACGGGCGGGTATATAGATACATATCGTGTACGTATGGTACGTAAAGTAGGAACCTATTAATTTTATAGTATTTATGTATAATTATGTTAGTACGTAAATACGTTTTTTTGTCGGGGAAATTCTACATTAATTATTTAAGATTATATTAATATGTGTAATTTAATATGTTTTTAAAACCAGCTTTGTTTCCATGACTCGACTGCTAGCAGGTTGTAATACACAAAATTATTACGCCAATAATACATAAGTATTATATTTTTTATGTTGTATTTTTTTTAAACTGAACCCTGGTAAAGCTCCTACAACTATTATAAGGGCAATGCTCATTCTAACCAGACATTGCTATATTACATATTATACCTATACTGTTAACTAGCACTGATTTGTTAATATTATATAGCTGCTATTATATGCAATGACATTCCATTTTGAACCCTCGTCTAGAAAGGTCGATTACCTTCAATCATAGCTATATATCTATACTTCAATTATAATTATACAGTAGGTACTATTTTGAATTTTAAATTATATGAGTCTCAATTTGAATCAATTATTCTCATTTTTTTATTTGGATCTACTATTCGTCTTTGAGACGCAACAACTGGTATTTTCTTCTTTATCAGGTGAATTTACAAACATCCAATATCACATATACGTCACAACGAGACCCAGAAGAAAAATCTCCATATCACGCAAAGAGTCCTGTGTGCTAATCGAAACACGACTCAATGCACGACAACCTACCATCATTGGAATTAAAACTAATATAACCTCTCAAAATAAATAAATCACTAAACTAAGTCGTTACTCGCTGTCTGTTTTGAGATTTTGATATGGTCTTTGTAACTGATTTATTTAATAGGAAAGTTTAAGTATATAATTTAATAAAGTTTGCAAACAAAGTCGTGGACAGGAAGCTAGTCTACAATAAATTTATAAAAGAAACTAGTACAGAACCAAAATAACTTTGAACAAAAGGTCTTCATGACCCTGTAATTGCACTACGAGCTTGTGACGTAATTCCGTGCTCCATAAGTAGGCGCCTGTCACCACGATATACGACATTTTACGAGAGCTCAAACGTGCCAAAGAGAGATTGCTCACTATTTTCCTGTAGGCGCTTGTTTTCGTTGTTAAACTAAAATAGTTGACGTTTGTGCTTCGAGGAAATTATGTAATGCTATTTCGGTAGTATTTTATTCGAAAGTAAAATTGAGGATTATCAAAAAGAAAGTATTTTTTTTTTTTGATAATTCTCATTATTTTAATGTGAGCAAGAGATATGCTACAGCATAATGAGCTGGCTTGACTGGAGTGAATCCGTCTTATAGAAGACTGGCGTATAACAATACTTGCATTGCAAAAACCCCTATATTCCGTATGCTATGATTACATTATAAATATAAATAATTTTTTTTTTCTTTTCCATCTTAAACTTTGCTTCACACTAGGTTTTTCTTTGGTGTCGTAGATGCGTTTAGGAACACGAAAATTTAAATGCACAACCACGCAAACCCAAACCAACAATTTGTGGATCACACAAAGAGTTGTTCCATGCGAGACCCAACAATCAATGGGTTTACAATTAAATAACAATAAAACAACTACAGAAAAACATAATTTAAACTTTATTCACGCAGGCAAAGGTTGTCTTTTTAATTGTTTCTCAATCTGCTTAACACTTTTGTTCTTAATATTAGGTACAGCGAACAGAGTGTACACCACCCCAAACAAGTTTATGCAGGCGAATATGTAGAATGTGGTATAAACTCCTACGTAATCTTCTACGTATTGGAAGGTGTGTACATGGATTAGTTTGATCACATGTGAGTACAGGTAAATAGCTCCAATAAGTGTTGCTCGGATCTGAAATGAGAAAATAGGAGTGAATACCAAGAGCATTAGTCTAACTTGTCGATAAAAAGTCCATAAACCAGACTTTAATTGTGGGAAAGCCATACTTCGGCACGAATGGGTCGGCCAGAGCGGAGTGTTACTACGGTCTCATATAAAACTGGCGTGAAACAACACAAAGCGTTGTGTTTCACGGTGTGCCAGAGGCTCAATTCTTTTTCCCTTCCCCCAATCCTTAAATCTCCGAAACCCCTATCCCCAAAATACACTCGTAACTCGTAACGGGTGTACCTAGGCGGTGCCAAATGCTTACCATCACCTAATTGCTCTGTTCCTTTGCGGTCTTGTTAGATAAAACAACCAGATAAGCTCATAATTTGATTTTTAAGTCAAAAATAATCAGAGCACGATATAATTAATCCTTTCCCATCCCATCCCCAATTCCAATCTCCAAATCCACCATTGAGAATCCTAAGTTTTCTTAGCCATACTGATTGCTTACAATCCGTCTGCTCGTTTGCCGATCTGTCCCATAAAAAATACATACCTCCAAATTAAATATCTCCACCATGATAACGATAGGTAGACCCCAAGCTACTCCGTATGCGAAGACCAAAACTCCAAGTGCAGACACAGGCAGCCATCTTAATGACGTCACTGTTAGATCAGCTTGTGTATACACTGCTAGTACCCCTGTTGATATCGTCATTGTGACGTAGGCTGCTGTTAGGAGGTACTGGAAAAAGAAAAAGGATAATAAGTACATAGTAATGTGTTCTGGCCCTAGCTTAGCAGATAAGGCTAAAACACACATTGTGTTTTATTACACAGAAAACATTCGTGCTAACCAATGGTCTATTATTGAATGAATGGAATATTTACTTATGATAAAGTTTTACATTGGAATAATTTAGTGATTGCTGTGACTGCATCAATATTATCATGACAACAAATGTGCTATTGCAATCCGCAAGAAGAATCTATACTTATGAGTGAATTTGAATGAAAATCATCAAGAAACTTAATGGATTTAGTAAGAGGACTGTGTTTTTTATCTTTCCTTTATTTTTGACGTTCAAAGGGGTGTAATTTAGAATTACACTTTAACTTTGCAAATGTAAATATCTTTTCTATCATGATGTGATTAGGGTTTGACAAGGACAAAACTATGTTAAAGACAGTACCATTGTGGCTTAAGAGACAGGAAAACTTTTGATTTTTCCAAGGCATAAATCAAAACAATTCTAGTCCTGTAATTGAAGAAGTTTTTTCTGAAATTGTTAAAGCAATAATAATGAAAAGGACTATAAGGAAGTCATAAGAGTTATTATTTTTAAAGGAAAATATCTTAGCTGCCAACTAACCTTTCTATCCACGAAGGTTGTGCAAATTAAACAGAACACGCTTCCAAGGAATAAGGTGCTAAGTACCAACATATTTTCAGGGTCTGAAGATACCCTCAACTGCATCAATGTTTTCTGCTGATCCAAGAAGAGAATGCTTCCTCCTATAGCCGTTATTGTGTACAGAACAATTCCAATTTTTGTACCATCTAGCCAGATCTTGTTTCGCCCTGAAAGAGAGAAAAAATATCTTTCAGAAAATTTATAGCATGACGAGTACATGGGAGATACTTGATGTGGCTGTTTAGGACCTACCATGATGAAAGCGTCAATCTTCTGAGCGAGAAAGAGGGATGCAGCTATCAGAGTTGTATAGCTCCATCCCTCTTTCTCGCCTGGAAGATAGACACTTTAACACGTCACGGTAGGCCTTCTGATGTATCTTAGATGGGTTTTTGTTTAAAATCTAAAAGCCATGCAGCATTTTGTTATATGCAGCGATTTAACTTATTATATAATTATATATATAATTGATTAACAGGCTTTATAAGTAATATAAATGTTGTAGACAGTAAATTTATTGATATATCTATAATAAATAATTGTACTTGTATGCGATACGATTTAAAATACGAGGCTCTGTATTTATTTATTTTAATTAATAATATTAAATATGTTTTCTGAGTTGAGAATATCCATTTTGATAATATTATATCTATACTTACTTATAATATAAAGCTAAAGAATTTGTTTGGAAGTGCAAATCACCGGGATTACTGGTTTGAATTAAAAAATGTCAACCTCCCTTTAATGAATATGCCTATGTTTCTCTGTTTCTATATTGGTTATACAATAATATGTATGTGCGATATGCATAAATGAATTATTTTTTTTTGCTGCACAAGCGTTACTAGTGTAAACATTAGAAAAAAATTTTCGATAAAGGAGACACCAACTGTCCCTATATATATCGACATCTTTGATAATATAGGTATGTAATATACATGTATACTCACACACGGTACAAACTGTGAGTCTTCCTTTAGCCTTTGCTTTATCACTTTCATCTTTAAGCTGAGATATTTCCTTTGACACATACGAATCATTCTCATCCACACGAACAAGCTTTGATAAATTCTTTTTCGCATTCTGTAAATAAAAACAAATTTGCTTATAATGTAGGTGTTTTTCAAGATTGGTTCTCAACTTAGCTTATTTTTAGGTCCATTTTCTTTTGGTTATAAATATCAATGTGTTATCGGATTTGTTTGTGTTCAAATACATAGTAGTTTGTATTGGAGATGGATTTGAGTTGATGTGTATCTGTGTTGCCATGAGTTGAGTTTTAAGATCCATTTTCCTAATAATATAATCTTCAAATGTAATTACAAACTCTGCTCTGTTCGTAGTGTTTTCGATAATTCATTTTCGTTAAGCGAATTTCCTAAAACTCCCTCTTCATGCGACAGTGATCCTAAGTACTATAATTTCAAAGTTGAATATACAACAAAATGTACAAAATACGCTAATAACAATACCAGTACCTATGGAATCATTTTCACAGTACATAACAACGGAATGAAATTTCCCAAAGGAAAGCTAAAGTTGTCACGTTACACAAGTATTATAACCAGGAACAAGCCACATTCATTTGTACGACAAAAAGAAAGATGGCCGCTCATCGTATGACTGCACAAAATAATTCAGACAAAGCCGCTTATAAAAAGGTAGGAGAAATATAAGTTTTAATAGATAGTAGTACGTATCTATAATTTTAAACACTTAAAATCTGGATTAATGGTTGTTTGATATGAATGACCTTGACAAAGACTAAAAAAGACATATTTTAGATCTTTGGTTTTCGTTTTGACGGCAAACGAGCAGACGGATTTACTGGTGGTAAGCAATCGGCGCCGCCCATGGGCATCCATGGAGTGCCTTGCCAGTGCCAGACCCCATGGAATGTGGGGTAGCCTTGCTTAGCCACGAAAGTTGGCTCAACCGGATACCAAGACCTCACAGAAAACAGGCTTGAAACAACCACAGCGTTGTATTTCGCAGTGTGAGTGACGTTACCGGAGGCCCAATCCTTCCCCGCCCGTCATTCTTTCCCAAGCCCCAAATCTCCGATATCCTGATTCCCAAGACACCGACACCGCACTCGTAACTCATCCGGTGTTGTGGTGGGCGGCGGCGATTGCTTACCATGAGGTAACACGTCTGCTAGTTTGCCGTTGTCATATAAAAAAGAACAAAAAAATTGATTTGACAGAGACTGGATATCATTGATCCCATACGACATGGGATAACAATAAAATACGTAGTGTAATATTCCGCGACAAAAATCCAGGCTTGTTGCAGGATGAAATCCCACTCCTATGCAATCATGCATATGTAGCAAAGGTGCCCTCTCGCCCACATGCATATGCACACATGCAAAAAATAGAAAAACATGCCACGCAATCAAACCTATACTCGACACGTGTTTCGCCCTTCCACAGGGCATCATCAGGAGATATATGAATATAACATTATAACAACATATTATATAACTACACTTATTAAACTTACTATATAAATAACATGCCTCATTGCAATGCCTGATTCTATATAGGTAAATTATAAAAAAAAATATATAAAAATACAATTAACAAGTAAATATTGTCGTTGTAGTGAATCATACTTTTTTTTAAGTACCTGCATGCCTAATAGCTTTTCAAACTATAAATACGTACTAGAGTAATTTTCCATAAATAAATATTGTTTACTTACTAAAAATATTCAAGTAAAAATTGTGTTAATTATTTAGATTATAAATTAGTACTCAAATACTAACTGGTATCTCGTTACTCGACTATTAAATGGTTACAGCATATTTTATTTCAGTAACCACATATTTATTTAAATTGCATTAATGCGTTTGATTTTTTAGTGATTACGTACTCGTTAATTTGACTGCAAACGAATATTTAAGCTGAATTAGCAATAAAAAGACGATTCAGCCGTATACATATACAACTCGTGGTGATCTCAAGAGTAACTATAGTCAGAATTTTAATTCGATTCCTGATTTGACATGACCTACTGTCATTTTGTGAAATAATGATACCACATATAACAGTGTAGTGATGAACACAAAAATCGATAAACAATCAGTGAATTAGTTTCAGGAAGGCATTCAAAAAATTACTACCGAATGGTCTAAATGCGTATAAGTAAGCTAGATATGTTAATTGTCAATAAAAATCACAGACACAATTCATAATAAATATTACAGAAAGTAACAGCGATAGCGACAACGATGACGGTGACAATTTATAAAATTTCTGTTTTATTTGTCATGTTCCTTCATGATCACATTTTTTATTAATTTCACAAACAATTACAAAAGAAAAATCTCAAATCGTTAATTAATTCTCAAAACTAAATTATCGGTTCAGTAATATTTTATTATCTGATAAACTTAGTTTACGAGAGTAAATTTATAAACGAGAGGAATCGATTCAGAAATATTCGATTTCCACATAGAATAATTTCGCAACGTCACTATTTATTGCGTGTCATAACGTTGCAACACTGAAATTGTCAAATCTGGAATGGAATTCAAATTCCGAGTATAGTGCAAAATTGATTTGAGTCAAAGGATTCGGCAAGTTTAAGGCGTTAAGGGGTCTGTTTGGCCTTTTCCAAGTTGACTTACCAATCAGAGTGTTAAACGAAGTAATGCTTCGAAAAAAGAAGTTGCACTAGATACTCCGTGGATTTCGTCGTGCGAAGGAACTTAAAGGACTTGTTGTAAGATCTCAAATGAGATTCAAAGATGATACCTATTAATTGGATGATATTAGCTCAAAATAGGAATAAACTAAAAATAAATAAAACTGTTTTGTAGTTGTTTGTTTGTACAAACCTACTAGAGTTTATCTTTCACAAAAGTCTTATAATATTCTACTCAACATACGTTAAAAATTCATTCAGTAAGAATACCTTGCTAAACAGTCAGCTCAAAGTTCAGTCACCTGACAATGGACGAATAAACAAAAACAATTTATTACTTAGAATTCCAAGGTTAGAGAAATCCATCAAAAATGCTTTGTTTGCGACAATTAATGTCAAAACATCATTCATCAGCATTTCACATCATTTGTATTATATATTTTCTCTTATGTCATTTCTCGTAGATCAAGACCATTCATTATTTCCCATTCGTCTCGAGGACCAGTATCATTATTATTATTACATAAGTCACCCACTGACGGAGATTCACTGCTGAGCATTGTTTTGCCGTAATAAAACAAACTGATCGATTAAACGTGTATCGTGGTGGCCCGGAGGTTAAGGAGCCCGCTTCTCATGCATGAGGGTGTGAGTTCGAAACCTGGTAAGTACCGATGTGACTTTTTCCGAGTTATAATTATGTACTTACTATGATTATTTAGACACCACTGACATACGGTGAAGGTAAACATCGTTAGGAAACCTGGACTTATAATTTCTAATTATAAGTTTGAAATCGCCAACACGCATTGAGCAAGCGTGGTGATTAATGCTCTAACCTTCTCCATATGAGAAGAGGCCTTTGCTCAGCAGTGGGCACTTATAGGCTGATGGTGTGGTGTGTGTGATCGATTAACAGTAACTTGTATCCAACGGCTTTGTCTGTCGCTCTATTATCAAGCTATTTAACTAAAAAAAATCTCTCACCTCATATTTCCTTATCATCACCAGGTAACTTGGACTCTCCACCATCATCAGAATTGATAGGAACTGCACCATCACCATTGCCAGCATCACGTATAACCTCACTTCCACAGCTACCACCTTCATTAAGTAGCCTCCTGTGGTCATCACCACCAAGAGTGGGACGGCAAACCCACGGACTGTGGTCACTTCTCTTAAATAAATTGGTAGGACGGTGAATAACCCGCCTGATGATATTCCCGCTAGGATATGCAGGATTATTTCTACGTAGAATATATTTCTTTTATTTAGTAGAAAGTGTGGGATCAGTGATATCTGAAAGAGAAAGGAATGTGTAAACATTGTAGTCTGTTCAAAATTTATTGGTGTAAACGAAGACCAGGGAATTTCAAGATCACTAGTAATTGATGGGTATTTTTTCCGGATCTGGGAGTTGTGTGTTCCAAAAATGCACTCATGGAACTAGCTGACAAAATCAGTGTGAGATATCTCTAATTAAAAAAGAGGAACTTAAAAACATATTCTATACAAGATAGCAGCCCCTGCTTCGCGTAGTTATCCAACCGGTTGCAGTTTCCAGATGTTTTCCTCTACTTTTCTGAATAATTTCATTTCTTTCATTTCAGAGTTCATAAAAACCATCACGAGGTAATAATGAACATAACATAAGAATAAATAAGAATTTGCAAAATTGGCCCAGGCGTTTTATAATTGCTGGCGACGAATTTGATTCCCGCGCCTTAACATCAGCATGTGATAGTAGTTTTTAGTCAGTAGCAGTCTGTCAATCCCATTTGTTTCCCCAGGCAAAGGGGCCAAATTTTCCACCTTGGGGGAAAAAAGCAATTCCTAGTTATGCGCTCACTAAAACATTGTGTTATTATAATTTTTATACTAAGAAAACATGGACATCAAAAACAAACCGATCATGCTCAATAGTTAATTCATCATCTATTTTATCGTGCAATTAAGACTATCAACATTAAAACAACTACAGTATTATGCTACATTGTTAAAATAAGGACAAACCACGTCTTTAATGAAATCGCGTTATAAAACTCTCGTTGATAGCCTATAAAATTCAGTAGCTATTAAATGCTAATTGAATTCATTAAATGAATGTTTGTCATTGACGAGGCTTTTGTCTGCCAATCTCTTACTTTATTGTTCCTTTGTGATTTGAAGTAGATTTATGTACTTAATGGTAAAATAGGTGGTTTAATTTTACTCTGCTATTATTATCACACATACTATTCTCTGAAGAATAATATGCAAGTTGATGACGTTAGCGGTGGAAGTATTAGATTCGATCGATGATAATGAGGAAAAGGATTTTTTTTTTGAGCTGGGAATATCATTAACTGTCTTCTCCCGACCTGTGTAAGCGAAGGGGAGGGTCTGATTCTCACTGCCAAAAACCACCCTTATCACACAGCCGAAGTACATTATAAACCTCGGCTTTGTGCTTGCATTTAGGACTCCGGTTGAAAGTGTACTTAAATATATGTAAAAGAGCGCAAAAAACACCGTTTATTGGACTATATTTATGTTACCACCAGAATCCCATAAAGTGGAAAACGATAAGCTAAATCGTCTAAAGTAATCATAATGACAGACTGTCTTTTTAGCTGCAGTATTTTTTAGGAAGAAGACATGATACTAATAATATTAAACTATTAAGTACACCACCAAATACTCAGGGTCTTTTGAAACGTCATTTTAACAATGGTGTTCCAAAAACAACAGTAATACGTGATGTAATTCAGGACTGTCATAAGCATAGTCAATCAGAAGTTACGTTTGCAATATCAATGAAGAAGCTAATCTATGAATGCTCAAGGTCATAATAGTTATGGTTCATGGGCATCTATTTATAAATAAACATCAATCATCAATATTAATTTTGAACATCTATCATTACTGAATCACTCAGTCGGACCAGTTTCTTTTTATATGACTTTTTTAAGGCAGGCAGATTCGCCACATTGGTTGATGTGATATGAAGATGGGAAAATAATACTACTGGATGGTGGTGGTGATTCTGGTGCTTTGCAGTTTGCGATGCAATGGTAAGCGGTGAGTGGCCATCGTAGCATGAGTTCATTAACGAACACATTATTGGCATTTTAATTTCACCATTGTTTTCGAGGCATCCTTATCGATATCAACATAGCGCAACTAAATGGGTTGAGATTTTCGAGAATTGTATTCTTTTTCCTATTTCATTCTGCGACTGTTTTGTTTGAGTAGGTTGGTTCAAGTTTGGCTTACATGGGGCCATGGATTTTATGGAATTGAAAAAGCAGTAAAAGATCATTCCTAATATTCTCATAGGTGAGGGTAGTTTATGACAAACTATTAAAGAGGACAAAAGAGCTATAAATGGATACAAAGGAAAGTATGATTAAAGAAAGAAATAAATAAATTTGTTTCGTACACAAAACACAAATCACGGCAGAGCGCAACGAGCACAGATTAATATGTAGAAGTAATACATTCATGGTGACATATGGTGATTTCAAGTCTGCGAAAAAATATGTCACTTGATCTGCAAATGACAAGCAATAGAATTCTAAAATCCAAAGAAATAAAGACTATTTTACAAAAACACTTACCCCTTGTATCATACTGACTGAAAACACCCCGCTCATTCTGCCATAAGTGTCTGCTATATAGCAGAATATAGGAGCAGCTATGCCTGCCCCAGCAATTACTGAGGTAGTTGTCCATGTGGTGGCATTACCATTCACAAAATGGCCGGAATGTATTGATGACGTCAATCTTGTGGTTTCTATTCCATGTGTGAAGAATGGTAGGTTTACTGGAAAGAGAAAGAGTATTTTAGACATGGTTCTTTGAGTTTTTGAAATGTTTTTGCAAGAATGGGGAGCATTTCTAAGAATATTTGGCTTTTTATCTATACAAATATTACCAAGGACACACCATGACCACGACCACTCTGACAAGAGTGTACGATTGGAATGAACGAATCTCAGGAACTGGGTTCGAATTGAAAAAATCATAATGTTTACTAGACCATTTATTGAGGAAGGCTTTAGGCTATAAAACATCACGCTACGATTTACAAGAGTACCTAGTGTAATGGTACGGGAGCTAGCAACGTTTGGAAAGTAAGAATTTTAGGTCAGCTGATTTTGTGATATGTCGTCCTTCTTGCACTTTCGGTTAGAGTCTGGGCTATCTGGCTGGCGGTAGCGGTTGCGTTCTTTAGTGCTCCGCTAGCATGTAGCGACACGGAGGCAACATACGTTGAGCTGCTTGGGGAAGGAGAGGCATCCCACGGCTATCAGAGCAATCCCGGAAGTACGGTCAAGACCCCTACCAGCACCTTACTGAGATACATCCTTCCCCCGAGTCTCCTTCAACTCCTACTCTTGCGAATCTCCACTCAAGCCAGCCAATTAAGGCAGAAATGAGGTAGGAGGGCTTGTTCTTCATCAGTGTTCACTCCAGCTCGTCACGAGGACTAACCGGAGAGAGAAGAACAAGACACCTCCCGGGAGTCAGGTCCGTGGGGTCACCACTGCCCAACAGCTCGCCACAAGCTGCCCTGCGGATTTATATTATTATTATTATTTATTATATGCACAATGAAAAGTCATTTACTTTCGTAATGGTTCTCTGTATCATTCCCAACTTATTTTGGAACTGACTCTCTCGGACTACTAGCATTATACTGCAATACTTTTCATGACTTTTTCATTTTAATTCAAAACTTAACAATCGAATTAATGTCTGGCAAATTTATTTTAAGTTTTTTTTATCTTTAAATAACATAATATAAAAATTACAGACATTATAAAATACTTTGAAATTTTAATAAAAAAAAATAAAAAATCGCGTATGGCACATAATTAGCATTGACAAAAATGTCTGGCAATAAAAAAAGTATTTCAGGTAGACTCATTTAAAAACAAAAAAATAAAAATTACTCCTTCTAAAATGTTTTTAAAATCCAGGTTTATTACCTGGACAGGTAGGATGCGCACTAAAAAACGTAACCGCTACCGCCAGCCAGATAGCTCAGACTCTAACCGTGCAAGAAGGACGACATATCACAAAATCAGCTGACCTAAAATTCTTTCTCGAAAACGTTGCTAGCTCCTATACTATTATATACGACGAATAACGACGTTCCATTACATAAATGGAAATTAAAATTGTATTTTATCTGAAAACCACTCAACAAAAAGCAGATTAGAGTTCAAATAATTAATATTATACCTATATATATTTACTCATTTCTTTAGTGCTGACAAACGTATACTCGTAAAATTGAATAGCCAATCATTTTGTCCATTTTTATTCCCAGTTTAAATATTTACGAGCGAAGATTGGTTTCATTTGGAGCTATAAACTGTTCAATCTTGGTAATACCATATTTTTACTGTCGCCTTGTTCCAGTTTAAGCGATTTACTTTGGTTTAGGTCAGAAATTGTTAGTTAAGTACAGTACTTTAAATAGAGAAGATAGGCAAAGAAGTGTGGGAAAGTCATGCTTCGGCACGAATGGGTCGGCTCGACCGGAGTGATACCACGGCCTCACAGAAGACCGGCGTGAAACCACCACAGCGTTGTGTTTCGCCGTGTGAGTGAGTTTTCCGGAGACCCATTCCTTCCCCAATTCCTAAATCACCAAATCCCTAATCCCCAAAAGGTCAGCAACGCACTCTTAACTCCTTTGTTGTTGCAGGTGTCCATGGGCGGCACTGATTGCTTACGACCAGGTAATCCTTACGGATTACCTGGCAAGTTTGCCGACCTATCCCATAAAAAAAATGATAATATTATGTTTTTCCAACCTCAAATTGGTTACGATAAGGGTGAAGGAAATGATGAATTTTGGTCCTAAATAATAAAGTCTTTATTCAATAGTCGCACTAACGAGCTCTGAATCAGCGAGTAAGTTTTCTTGAACATAATGTAACACAATAACCTTTTAGTCCTAGAAGGACCAGGAATGGTAATAAAGAACCTAATTGAATAAGATCAAGGGAACTAGACTAGCTTACTACGCAGAACATATTTAAGTGCTCAAACGTATGCGCCAACCAGGGGAATGAGTTAATGAACAAAGTCAAAGAATTTATTTCGATGTTGTGGTGGCTCGGTGGTTAAGGGGCCCGCTTCTCATGCATGAGAATGTGGGTTCGAAACCTGATGATGATGATGATGATGATGATGATGGTGGTGGTGGTGGTGATGATGATGATGATGAATCTCATAATAAGGGACTATTGATATGTCAAAGTAAAATTGTTCGTCAGTCTGAACGTCAGTGCAGTTAGATTTGTATCCTAATCTTCTTTAGATGTAGTTTCTACTTCCCATTATGATATAAAGGATATGACCTCAATTGATTTCTTTCTGTAATCCAAGTCGGCTATGGATATATGTAGCTGACTTGATTCGCCGAACTCTAGCTTCTAGGCGCTTTTATGGTTTTTTCTACTGTAGATCTTTACCTACAAGAGTCATAGTTTTAGGAGAAAGTGTTTTGAGCTCTTTTTGGGTATATAGCTACAAAAAGGCATTTTTAGTTCCCTCACTCTTTGAACTTGCTAAGACGGCAGACTGACATCACCGGTAGACTTTATGGTGATGTTAAAATGTCTCATCCACTGTTTGCTAATCTATACTTCTATACTAATATTATAAAGAGGTAAAATTTGTAAGTTTGTATGTAGGGGGTAATCTTTGAAGACGCTGGTTGGATTTCCAAAATTCTTTCACTGATAGATAGCTACAATGTTCCAGAGTGCTATAGGCTATAAAACATCACGCTACGATCTATTAGAGCCTAGCAGAGGGTGAAACCGCGCGAGAGTAGCTAGTAAGGTATATTTACAGTCTCTTATAATCTTATACTAAGCACAATTCGTAACGCAATCCTGTCAGTGATAAATTTTCAATATACGAAAACCACTTTTGTTACTCCACTGCAACCAATTAATCAAATCTTTTTCTCGACACACCAACCAACTATGTCTAAACGTACGTATTTATCCCAGTTTTGAAATCCGCATTCTATCCTTCGGACGCATGTTTTCATCGAACTAATCGTAATATCGTGTTAACCGTCAGTAGTGTTGGTCGCCGTAGCCTTGTGGCCTATTTTCATTCAGTAACATACGAGCTCAAAGTGTACAGTTATACACAAGGTTAAAGGGGTTATTGGTTATTTTGTACTTTTATTTATCTGTGATGTGGTTTATTTTTTTGGAAAGTTAATTTATTTATTTATTTGTCGGAGCGACGATTATTTAAATTGAATTTTGAAGGAGGTTTTATCACAATTCATCGGACGAGGGTACCATAAATCGTACTCTGGCGGAACGTCAAACTGGCAGCTCTGCGTACGCATTATGGTGGAGAGCGAGCGCTGTGACTGTCATAGGAGACGGATCGCCGACGTCCGTTATTTTTGTAATTTATTCGGTCTGATTATAAAATCCTACGCCCTGCGATGGACTGTGAAGACGATGATCGGCATGTTGATGTTTGTACCAACCCCCCGGTGCCTTCATATTTATTATAGGCTTCGCAACAATGAGTAGGTACAATATACTTCATAATTTGTTCATTTCAAATTTAATTCTAAGTGCCCCATTACTTAATCGTCTAATAATTTCTCCAATTTTAGGTGGAGCGAGGAGTGATTTCTTCTCGCCCCGTAAAACCCACGCTGCATCTTCTCCAATAAGAAGTTTCAAATAATTTCTGCCATTCTTGGTGCAGTGCAAGAGAGAGTCAGATTTTGACTGACTAATAAGACCCCGTTTCTTAACCAAAACCGAGCCGGACGGCGGCACATTGTTGAAATTAATAAGTCGATGTCATGTTTGGTCGATTTTGAGTTTTAGTTTTGCTCGACACGGTTGGTGCCTTAACTGGACAACCAGCTGTTTTAAGAAGTGTGTTCTTGCACGGATCATAATATTAGGAAAATACTAGCGGTCGCCAGCGGCTCCACCTGCGTGGATGTCGATTTTATACTTTTTCAAGAATTTTAAAAATTTTCTCTACGTACAAATCCGTAAAGGGATTGATTTTTATATATTATTATATAGATATGAAAACATTGTTTTTCCCCTTGTTAATACCCAACAGAGATGCACCTACCACTCCTATTTCTCCACCACCCAAAGGAAGACTGGCAGAGAACGCCTAAGGCGTTGAGACCGCCATTGTACATTGTGCAAGAAGTATAAATAAAAATAAATAAATAAAATAAAATATGTATGTGTCTGTGATTTATAAATAATTGTTCCGGGTCTGGGCATAGTTTTGTAAAAGCACCCACGATTTAGGAGAAACGTACGCACCTAGTAAGGAACGACGTTCTTTTTTTAAGGTATATTGGTTTTGTAAAATCTTATTTTGACACAAAGATCCACTTTTCATCAGCTATTTTAGAAGACGCCTATGTCAACCTTCTCATTTCTTAAAATTTTCAACTTTAGTATTTAGTTATAAAGTCGAAATTTAAATAAATATATGATAGGGTAAGTTGAATTGCTGGCGTCTGTATTCTAATTAGAACATGGTTATTTCTAGACCGTCCTAATTATACGCCCCTTTCAATGGTGGCGACACATTTTTCAGGCTCTCAGTAAGGTAGGACTAAGTTTTTCGTAGTTAATTACTTATCTAATTAAGAATTTATTCTATCGGAAGAATATTCTTTGAGAGTTTGTTAAAGTTTTTACACCTTTTAAATGTCTTCGATTTATGTAATTTTTGTCATAAAGTCAACTTTTGAGCGAGAATATATTTTTTAACGGTATGATAAATTCACCT